GGGTAGGTGGCTTGCAACCCCAAGTATAGTTCTAGCGCAAAATTCGCTTCGCCATTTTATTGACTAATCATTTATCTTAGTGTTGTTGTAGAAATTTTTAATAGGATATTCACCCCCCTCTAGCCATTAGGACCTTTCAGTGGGGCTTGAGATCGAGCGTACCCTTGACCGGGAGTAGAGTTGGGGACTCAAACTCCCGGTGATGTGTGTCGACGCGGTGCCCCGCAAGGGTGCCTGTGTTAGGGCGCCTGGCGAAGGAAGTCGCCGCGGTCACCAACGGCTACGACAAGATGCCGGCGGGCATGGCCGGTGCGGCGTCGAGCACCACACGGCTCAGGGACTTGCGCAATGCCGTCATCTCCTCCCGCATCTTCTCGATCGCACCCTCCTGCTTGCGCAAGGTGCCGATCTCGGATCGGAGCTCCTCCACGGACGCATCCACGGTAGGCCTACAATCGTCAAACACCCTGACGGCATCCTCCACGCGCCTAAATCGGAGATGGAGCGGTCCATGGTGGTGATCCGACTGCCTAGGGACGTCTCCACGGCGCCGACATGGCTCTCGACACCGTTCACAGCGGTCTTCATGGACTTGATCTCATGGAGCAGGAGCTGGAAGTTGGGATCCATGGCGCCCGGAGGGGGCCTGCTGTGAAGCCGCCATGAACTGGGACACGCCACCATTGACGGCTGTTGTACATATTTTATAGTTCCATACACGAGAATCTCCGTTATATGTGTCAGCTCAAGAAACCTTTGCTCTCTCTCTCTCTCGGTCTCTCCTCGTTATTATCCTCGGATTGATTTCTCCGGTGAAACATTGTTTAATGTTTACCCTGCCTGTAATAATCCGTTCTGACCTACACATTCCGCAGTACGCCAGTGCCAAAAGTGGGCAACTCCCGTGGGCGCTGTGTTTTCGAAACTGCGCCATCTACCTATGTTTTAACTTTTTTATAACAATGCAACTCAATCAACGACTAAGTTTTCAAAAAGAAAGATCCAAATACAAACACTTACTGAAATTTTTTAAATACCTCTACAAATAAGTTTAGTATAATTCTAAAAGATTTTAGAAATGATAGTATAACAAAATTTTGTTATAGCACACGGAGAGAAAATGGGTAGAATGGCCAACTGCTTTAGCTCACCTGGTTAAAACAAAGAAGAGAGAAAAATAAAAAGAAATAGGAAACCCAGCGCTCGCTAGAGCACCAACAACGGTCAGGAAAACTGCAAAAGGGTGTGTTAGTTGTTACGAGAGCCTCGGTAGCATCTAGGGTTCCGGATTCGACTCCCCGTGAGAACGAATATTTCAAGATTTAACGGCTTTGTGTTTTTAGTGGTAGGCGACGTTCTCGTCGATGACAAGACACTTGTGGTGACTTCGTTACTTACGTAAGTCTATTGTAATCTTCCAGACTAATGTTTTTTTATAAGATCTCCGTGGATATGAGTACACAGGGGTAGAATTTGCGTGCATGCGTTATGAGCGTCTACATTGTACTCTGTGCTAAGTCTATTGTAATCTTCCATACCACTCTTTTGTCTATAAGATCTCCTAGAAATTTATAAGTCGCTTGTAGCTAGCAATTTGTTTAACTTGTCCTATTAGAGATCGTTTGAATGCACTCGTATGCACCTCATTCTATGTGTGTTGAAGTAAATTAAATCTATGTGTATTGGAGTGGATTGTGTTGTAATTGTTATCCACTACAACACATGTAAATTACGGTGGATACGAGTGCATCTAAATAAGACCTAGGGTGAAAATTAAACTAAGTTCTACTCCAACACATTGATTACGATGGATATGAGTACATGCTTATTTTGCACGTCTTCTTGCAACTTCGTCTCCTACATCAATATTATTTACAGGACCTATTTTTCTCTCTCCTCGTGAATTGAACGTAGAGCCAGGTGAAGTCATGATTTGTGTACCCTCTAGTGTTGTAGCTCGGAGCCCAGGACCGAAGGAGCCCGGCTAAACGGGGCCTACATTCAAACAAGACCTTATTGAAATACTACGAAAAAAAAACTTATCAGTGTACATGTAGAAAAACCGACCCTGGATTCTGTCTAATTCAGAGCTTAATATAAGGTACTACTCCCAAAAGATTACCAGTAATGTATTTAAACAACTATCTGTATATTAAAATATTTCGAAAACAAAGTATTACCAATATCTACAAACAAGGATGATGAGTGGGGTTCGCACTTCGCAGGGTGAGTTGTAGTTTCGCTCACGCCGGGTGGACTGATGAAATTGCTTTTTTCCTTTTCTTTTATTATTAATCCTTTTATTTTTAAATTATAAGTTATTTTGATTTTATAAATTTATTATAGTTTTATTATGTATTTAAAATATATTATATATCTACATGTATAATAAAAATAATATATCTAGAAAGATCAAAACGAACTGAAATGAAGGAAGTAATTAAACTATCACGGAGTAAACTTATGGCGCTCCAGTTAACCAATTCAATTCAAAAGACCGGCGGGTTGCTAGTTCAAAATATACCACCCATGTGACCATCGGCTTGTTCGCTGGTTGGTTTCTGGGCTGATAAGCCCGGCTGGTGCTAGTTTGTTATGAGAGAAAAACACTGTTGGTTGGCTGATAAGCCCTGGCTGAAACCAACGAGCCAACAAGCTGCATGACGCCTGGAACTTGGATCCACATGCGCCAATGAGAGAGGGATGGCATTCATTCTAAATTCTAAATTATGTTTACTTCATTCTGAGAGAGGCGCTTTTCGAAGAAGCTGTATCGAACAAGACTGAGACGGCGCCTGCATCTTCATATCAAATTTAACTAATGATACCATATGCATTATACAATACTAGCTAATTACCTCGGGTTGGCGTGAGCTTGCATGCAAGTCTGCTTATTACCTCTGTATAGGGGGGCAACGGAATAGACAATCTGAAATGTGGCAATAAAAGTTGTTCTCGACGAGTGACTATTGGGCTGAGAGCTTGTCGAGGCTCAAGAGGACCACAGCCCAAGGGGGCCGGATTTATAGTACTGGAGAGCCGAGGGACGTGGCGATCGTCCGAAAGCAACCACACTAACTTGGCTGATATCCATCGTAATGTCCGTAGTCTTCTTCGGTCTTGGCTGATATCCATCGTAATGTCCCTAGTCTTCTTCGTCCGAAAGCAACCACACTAACAAACCAAGAATATCGTTTCTACAATTCTACTCTACAAACCATGCATGCGTAGTCTTCTTCGGTAGTTTCGCATAAACTCGGCGGCGACATTGATATGTACATCCCAGCATTGTAATGTCCGTACCTTTTCGCAAGACGACCAATGGACATGTACGAGGCAATCAACTTCCATAGTTTGCGTTGTTGACATATATATATATATATATATATATATATATATATATATATATATATATATATATATATATATATATACACACACACTACCACGTAGTTGGCTACAAAATAACTTATTCTGCAGCCACTTTGAGTTACGATAATTACTGGCTACAAAAATACGGCTTATAAGCCAAGCGAACATGGCGTTTGTACCTAGGATTTCAACATCATTGAGACTAATTACTCCTAATCATACTTCAAAGGCTTCAACTTAATCTAACTAAAGGTCAAGCTTCTTTGATCATCCCGCACATGGGCTTCAACGCCCTTCGCCCACGCCCCACGCCCCCGCATGCCTTCCATGGCCAGGGATCTGACGCTATTCGGCTGATGATTTATGCGGCTGATAAGCAGACTAAAGCTGATTTGTCGTGAGAGAAAAACACTGTACGTTGGCTGATAAGTTCAAGTGAACAGGGCGACCCAGGCCGCACGCTTGGAGCGCCTCTGTGTATCCCCGTTCCTATGAAGACGGAGGATGGGGAAGGAATAGAAACATGAACAAGGTCCATGGTGAAAAAGTGGAAGAGAAAAGAAAAGGTCAAAGGGTAAAAATGGATTTTGCAAAACCTAGGGTTCCTGATACAAAACTTCCTCTTTTTTTCCTTTTTCTTCGCATGGGCCTCTTCCTGATGGGCCTCAGATACAGCCTGGGCCGAGTGGGGCGAAACTGGCCCATGGCAGGCCTTTTACCTTTTCATTTCGTTTTCCCTTTTTTTTAGCAAACCTGTGTCTTCTAAAATCCATAGAAAATCACAGAAAAATCATAAAAATGCCATGAGAGAAGATAGTCTTAGGGTTTTATTTAGATCAAATTAAAAATATGTGTGAAATAATCTTGTGTTGAATTCGACCAGGGCTTAATTCAACTCATCTTTTAACCTATTCGAAAAAAATATTTGTTTAAGAAAAATTCCTTTACCATGGCTGGGAGACGTGGCTGCCCAGGGCGTTGTCGTCGTCGGCACAAGAGCGGGTGCAGCTGCCTGGGCACAGTTGCGCGGGCGCTTGGCACAGCTGCGCGGGAGGGAGGAGTGGGCGCGAGCGGGAGGCCGATGGCCATGGGGCTACGACGGAGTCCAACACAGTTCTATTCCACCAGTTCTCGGGCGGGAGGAGTGGGCAAGAGCCGGAGCAAGCTAGTACATCCACGGGATGACGGGAATAAGATATTCCTGGGTCAATAATATTATATATACGGCAAGGTACTACATCCACGCAGTGGTGGAGATAGAGCAAAATCTAAGGGGGCGCTAGCCTCGTGGGTGCATAGAATTTTACGGATGCATATACGATGAAAAATTAAATATAGTCACTGTTTTTTTTTTCGTGGGGGCGGAAATGCATTCGGCATCCACCCAGCCTTCCACCCCCCCCTCGGCATCCACCCAGCCTTCCCCCCCCGGCAGCGATCAAAATCGCGAAGTAAGTGCCGCCTGAATTAATTCATCCGCATCCGCTTTGATCGATCTCTCTGCCTATGTTATGTCTTATGCCACACAACACACATTCCTTTGTTCGATCAGGCTGATAGGCGATCGCTAACTGCTAGTGTTTACTACATTTGCAGGATCGATCTGTCATCGGTGATCGACCACCAAAATGGCGGTGCTCAGTTGGGTCAACGTTGGGAATGCGGCGAACATTCTGCAGCTGCTCGGGGCGGTCCAGTTCCTCATCACCGTGGCCAAGAACTTCCTGCGGTTGTCACAGAACAAGAAGGAATGCCGCGAGCTCGAGCTGCGCGTGGAGACGCTGGAGGCGCTCATCGGGTGGCAAACCCCTTGCTGGAGCATAGTGCAGCAGCAGCAGCCGTGGCTCGAGGCTCTGGTGAGCAGCGCTCTCCGCGAGGCAGACGGCCTCGCCAACTCTTACAGGAACGGCACGGTTTGGTTCCTGGTCCGGACGGGCAGGAGCATGACCCAGCAGTTCCGTGACCTGCGCAACAGGATCGACTCCTACTGTGCCCTCATCATCTCCCTCAACGCCTGCCAACTCATCGCACAAGCGGGACCTCTTACTGCTCCGTTACTTGTCAGGTGAATACTGAATCTATACTGATTGCTTCAATGATCAAGCTACGTTGCCTACGTGCTAGTGCTATGTGGTTCAGTACCAGTAATAACTCGATGTGGCTCGGTGTAAAACTGTAAATTAACGGCCGGCAATTAATCTAATTAAACGCGTGCGTGTTATGGACTTATGGCAATTCAGGGTTGAGAGGAACGAAGGCGGCGCAACACCGACGGCGGCTGTGCTTTCCAGGGACGCCGAGGCACCTATGGGGGTTGCTGCTGACGGCGTCCCGGCACACAATGCAGCGGCAGATGATGGCCAGGAGGCAGGTGAAGATCTTGATCAGCGCATCAACTGATCATCCATGGTGTTGTGTCGTGTGAAAATCATCTACTCAGTTTTGAGGGACGAGAAGGAACTGTATCCTAGAGAAATATTCCGTCTTGACAGTTCTATTCCACCAGTTCTCCAACCAAACACCAAAATGAAATGGGATATTATCTCTCACTTGGCCACTGCCAAGTCCCCAACCAAACACATTACTGAAAGGTAACATATCAACTTGCTGACGTTTTTCTAACAGAGGAGTGCCCAACCATGTAGGACGCGAACCCCCACACGGTGATGACCAGAGCCAAGATCTTGAACCCGCTCATGGGGTCATGGAACCAGATCACCGCGGCGATGCTCGTGAAGGGCACCCTGACAGCGTTCAGCACGCCGGCGAGGACGGTGGACGCCAGGAACAGCACGCCGGTGCCGCCGAGGACGCCCAGCTGGAACGTGACCGCCGTCCACACCATCACGTTCGCGTACGCGGCCTCGCCACCGTGCGCAAACCGTGCCGCCTCGCGCCGCATCGCCGGGAAGCCCTCGGCGACGGCGAGACCCGCGGAGGTGAAGGCGAACGCGCAGAGCGACACGGCCGCCTGCTGCTCCAGCACCACGTGGAAGGAGCGCCTGCCGAGGACCCTGGCGAAGACGAGCTCCGAGAGCGCGAAGATGAGGCCGTGGAGCGCCGACCCGAGCACGTCCAGGACGAAGCCGAGCGCGTACTGGCGCGGCATGACGCCGGGGGGCCTGTCGGACCCGGAGTCCAGCGCGACGATCACCACGCCCGCGGTGATCACGACGACGGCGTTGAGCGACGACATGTTGAGCGTGTTCTTGGCGATGGCACGGCCGAAGAGCGCGGAGAACGCGAGCGACGACGCGGCGACGAGCGAGGCCGTGGACGCAGGGAGGTACGCGTACGCCCACGCGTACATGAGGTTGTCGGCGGCGCTGAGGAAGCCGAGGAGCGCGTACCAGAAGCACAGCGCCAGCGACAGCGGCGTCAGCGACGCCTTGCCGAGGGCGTAGAGCGGCAGCAGGAGCAGCGCGGGCAGGGGCCAGCCGGCGACGGCCGCCCACGACAGGATCCACTTGCTCTGCCCCCCGTCGTTGTAGTAGAGCCGCGACAGGAGGCTCGACGCCGGGAACGCGGTGAGCATGGCGCCGCTGCTCAGGAACAGGAGTAGCCAGAAGGAGAACGGCTTGCTCCTGTACGTCTCCAGGGAGGTGGCGATCACCTCGGCTGCTTTCCGTCTCAGCGACGTCGACGTCGTTGAGCCATTTGCCTGCGAGGTCTCCTCCCCCATTGCTATATTATCTGTTACACGCAGCAAAGGAAAATTGGAAATTCAGAGACGCTGGCCGCGAACAGCATGGTGATATGATATGCAAAGGATTTACAAAAAGAAAAGAAGAGGAAGCTCAAGAGATTTATTGCTTGTAGTAATTACTGATGACCGGTTCTAAGATGAATAATCCAGCATTGCTACGATTTACAGTGATGAGTGTGGTTTTAGAAGGAATGAACATATGGACTGAGATTTTGTCAGTTTAGAAGTAGGAGGATATATTCAGAGTTTGTGGCAAACTTCAGGTAACTGATGTCTTTCGCCTCTTGCAAAGAGTTTGAAACACATTGGAAGCTAGGATCCCTACGGGCAAAATGAGATTGGTGTGACCAGTTACCCAGAAACAGGGATTGAATTTCATGACATTATTTAGGTTCTGAAAAAAAAACTATAGTACACATAGCATCATATTGTTCACATGAATAAAAAAAACTATAGTTCCACGTAGTATCATATTGTTCACGTGAATATATTGTTCCACGTGGTCGTTGGGGAAAATGCCCAATCACTTCCAATCATCCGTGTACGACCATGACAAATAATTCTTGTGCGGAACAACATGTTTCAGGGTCTGCTTAGTGGGTTTAATTGAAATAAGAAAAAGTTCCAAAGAAGGGGGTTTGTGTGTGCACTCAAATCGCGATTCTCATGCCACTGAAAAGAGCATCTAGTTCTAGAGGGCACCAATCAAGAGAACTCAAAATGAAAGAAAAAAAAAGTTGCCAGTTGCCTAGAAACTGCTGGGTGTACCCATTCTGCAGAATCCAACTCGTTGCGCTAGAAACTGCAGGGAAACAGCAACCAGCGAGACGATCAAGTTGAAGCCCCAAACCATGCAGACGCAGAGCAGAGCCCTGGTTTGGGGAGGTAGGCACGCGTGAACTCTAATGGATTAAGGTGATACGAGAATTCAACCCTAGAAGAGAGGGGAACTGACTGAATTTGTCCTAGGATGGGAGGAAACAAAGAGAGGAGATGAGTCAGGAACTAGACCTGGAGATGGGACTCGGATGGCGTGGTGATGGTGGCCGCCGTCTTCCTTCTCCATCCTCCGCTGCCTGCAACTCCCTGGGCCTTGGAGTTGAGACTCGGAATCTCCACCAGCTGCAAGTCCACAATCTCTTCCTGACGACTGACGAAGACGAAGGCAACTCTGACTCTAGTAGAGCTAGAGCTTGTAGTGGAGACGGTTGGTGGTCGTGCGCATATCCGTGCGCGGACGGACGGACCCTGTTGTGGGTGTCCTTGTGTCGTCTCCATGTACGCCTCCTGGCTCCTGCAGTAATTTACGGAATATATATTAATTCAATTGCCCGTACCGAGAAATCTACAGAAGTATATATGAATTCTTTGCTCGTAAGTTACAACAGCAGGTACATTTTATATCAACTGTTCTATAATACATTTCAAATCAAACTCTATACCGTAGTTGGACGCACGCCATTCTAACTCATGCGAGCATGGTCATAAAGTCGTTGCGCATGGGACAGTAAACAAAGTAAGACTTTTATCTCTAACTCAGTATGCTCACGAGAGTACTGAGAGACTGAGAGAGAGAGTGACGGATGAAAATTTGTAGTGGAATTTCTTATTTTCTAATATTATATAGATATACTAGTAGACATGTCTGTGGTTGCAACAGAGTTGTCTCGAAATCGGACTATGTACTATGTATGAGTACGGATCGTGAATTTAGATCACAGAAAAAACAATTAGGACTCTTAATTCATCACATACCACTATTTTTAGTAAAATCAATCAGGATTCTTATGCTCAGAGAAGTAAAGGGATAGGGACCGAAAAAGAGAATGATGGATAACCCAGGAGAGAAATTTTCTTTTTTAATATTGAAGTTATTTGGCCTGTTCGCTGATTGGTGTTGGTACTGGTTTGGACTGATTGGTGTTGGTTTTTTGTGAGAGGAAAACACTGTGGGCTGGCTAGTTTGGGCTGGCTGAAACCAACAAGCGAACAGGCTGATTGTTATAGATATAGATTAGATATACTTAGATATTGATATAGAGTAGATATAGATATTGTTTTGTTTGGCCCTTGTTTAGTTCCTCTCAAACTCCCAACTTTAGCACTATGTAAAAAAAAGATTCCCTGTCACAACAAACTTGCGGTACATGTATGGAATACTAAAAGTAGACGAAATTAAAAACTAATTGCACAGTTTGGTTGTACTTTGCGAGACGAACATTTTGAGCCTAATTAGTCAACGGTTGGACAATTATTACCAAATACAAACGAATTACTACAGTAGGAAATCTGACACTATGCAAACTTTGCACATCCAAATTCCGACCAACTAAACGCGCCATTGATATAGGACGGTTTAATGAGTTTCTTTGCCTTGTACATACTAAAATATGTATATGCTGTATTGCAAAAGCGTGGGATGCCAACCATCCCATCCTTTGGGCGTTTCGTTGACCGCACCGATGCGTTTGGGCGGGCTACCGGCTTGTTCGTTTGACTGGGCTTGTTCATTGTTGGATCGTGAAAAAGTACTACCGAATGATTTGGTGTGAGAAAAAAATACTATTTCGACTGAAAATTTACGATCGATTAGGAGATGGACCAGCCAAACGAACGGGCTAGGAGGGGGCGGTAGCGCACGAGAAAACCATTGTTCACCATGCCTTTGCCAGCGTGGTCCACGCGCCGATGGGGGACGATGCTGTTCTGCCCCGAAACGGAAAGCATTGCCGCATGGGCTAGTTGGCTTGGCTTGGCGGTGGGCTTCAGGCCAACTCCCTCCGTTCGTCCATAAATATATGTTATTTTTGGTTCTCGAAAAATAATTTTGACTAAATATATACAAAAAAATATTAATATTAATGGTACATAATTAATTTCATTAGATAGATATTTAAATTTAGTTTTTTAATAAATTTATTTAAAAATATAAATGTTTCACGTATTTTATATAAATCGAATAAATTTTTACAGATTTGCTAACTAATAACCGGTTGTGTTTGCGTCCAGGTAGCAACCGGATTTTTTTGACCGTAGGATTCGTACGGTTCGCTGCCTCCTGCCGCCCGATTAGGCTGCGTACGGTTGGTTGGTTGGTGACTTCGTACGGTGTTGTTGGTGACTTCGTTCGGCTGCTTGTTTGTCGCCCGAACGCCCGAGGCCGTCGTTCGCGCGGGCGGATGCCGGCGTCTCCGTCGACTTCGTGCGGATCGATACCTTTCTTCTATTTATAAATTTTTAAGGTTTTGAATAATTTGACGACATTTGTGAATAATTTGATATATGTTTCTCTGTAATCTGAAATTCATAGAAAAAAATTGTATTTTTTTTAAAAAAATTGGCATATATTTATTTGAGATCTCGTGTTATTTCTAAATTATATCGCTCTGTCTAATAAATTACACTGAAAAATCAATGTAAATATAGTAATAAAACAGTGTAAATATAGTTATACGACAATGTAAGTGTATGAAAATAACCGGGTTGTTGGCAGAGGCTAAAATAACCGGTTGTTAATAGAGGCTAAAATAACCGGTTGTTGGCGAGATAGATTCAATTTTTAACACACAAACCAACAACGAGTTACCTGAGGAAAGAGGGAGTAGGGACCAACCCATCGGAAGGCCGGCCCTTTCCCACACGCAGACGCAGGCGCTCTCGTGTGTCGTGTCTAGTCTGCGCTGACGGCCGATGCCGCCACCCGCCAGCCTAGCCGCACCGACGCGGGAACCGAAACCACCGCGCACGGCACGGCGCTCCGTCCGTCTCCGGTCTCCTTTGGTTCCGCCACTTCACACCTGCCGCCTGCCGGCCTCCGTCCGCGTCAAAAGCACACGGCGCTTACTCAGGTGCAGCTGGGATCTCAAGGCCATCGGCTGTGCGCCTGTGCCTGATTCACAAAGCACAAAGTAGAACTGGAATCTGTAGTCAGCACGAGCGAATTCAACGCGCACGCAAACTATAATTAACGCCAAACTGGAGCAATGCAGATTTTTTTTTTGCAACTTGCAAAGAATCAATACATACATCTGATCTGTGGCAGCAAAAGGTGTACTGCCATTGCCATCATTAATATGGAACTGAGCTCCAATTGACAACATCTAACAGGCTTGACATGCAATCAGCAAAAGCATAATGATAGTGTTCCAATGCTTGTGAAGGATGGAGTATTTCAAGTACATTACATTTTACATATCTGGAGACACTAAGCGAAAACAATCAGCCTGTACATCAACATATTTTTGCCTCGTTACAGGATTAACATGTCATACTTCTCAATGGATATCACACAGAAATCATGATATTTCTCTCTTGAAAAACAATACCCAACACACATTGCTGCTGTGAATTGCAATGAGCACGTCAATTAATTCTTTTCCTCTATAAATCTCAATAGTAAAAAGAATCGCTAGGACAATGTGACAAATTATACCTGTCTATTGTCAAAAATTTACACTATACAATGTAAACAGTGTGATGCACGAAATTAAGACAGAATTTGAACATCTTATCTAGCCTGGAACCATTCTGCTATGATAGAACAACCATGAGAATTCCAGATCAGTCTCCTCTGAGCCAGAAAATTCCATGGCGGTGGACCTATCATCCGTATAAGAAAATATGGAACGGGTGTCTTTGTATCTGACAGATTGATCTACATCATCTATTGAGAGGTTCAAGCTGCACCTCCATTACACCAGAAGCGCTAGATTCTGAATTCCTGGCTGTACCATCAGGATGCAAAAGATCAACTGAATCATCTTCCTCGGTGTTGCCTAATACCCAGTGCCCTCTGGTGCTTCTGTCACCGATCCTTCTTTTGACCTCCTTATATTCCAAGCACAGCACAACAACGATAACTGAAAGCACCCACAGCATTAAGGCCCAAGTGAGCTCCTCTACATTCTCACTGTCATACCTATGGCCTAAATGCTTCATTCCTGTGAAAAGCGCCACGATTCCTACAATAATTGCCGACCTCCCTGTGATAACATGCAGGTACTCCCACAGGATTCGATTGCGAGATGGAACCTCCCCATTAGCTGGCTTACTGGGCCGGAATTTAGCATTTAGTGGCTGCAAAACTGCCAATAATAGGGCCAGCACACCAAACTTAACATGCACTGAGCTGACGAAGAAGCCACGGAGCTCAGCAGCAGCAAAAAGGACACCAAGAAACATTATAGCAATTCCTGAATACTGCAGATAGACATGTATTTGGAACCACCCATCTCCTTTCAAGCTCTTCAAATACCGGGCAGCCATTATTCCACCAGGAAGCAAGATGCCCCAGGCAACAAACATTATAAACCCATGAACAGCCAGGACAGGACGCAAATCCTGTTCTGCCTCAGCTGAACCTCTCAACAACAAAACAAGTATAGGCCGACTGCTTGTGACTGAATGCATGTTACTGTCTGTCAGATCATCTCCCGACCAGCTTGCACCCATGGCCCAGACGACCTTAAGTGGTGTAGTTGGATCAATGATGTTCTTGCATTCTACCTTCCCGGTACAAGAAGGGTTAAGAAGGCGAGTAAATTCAAATGTAATAATGCCATTTTCTGACTTACACCGGACAAATGTGATGTTCTCAGATGTTGGGTGGATACCTGATGCACTCTTTCCATCAATCCAATAAGTTTTCACTCGCCCAACCCCATCATTGCCCACCCAAGCAACATAGGTGAAGCTATTCACCATCCCACTCCCAAACCCAATAGCAAGATATCCACTTTTCTTCTCACCTCGAGCTGCTATAGATATAGATTTATAATCTGCAGAGAGAGTCCAAAATAAAGTAACCTGTTGATCATCCAAAACAACACTGTTATTATACATGTCGCTAAGGCCTCCATCAACCACTTGAACTTTCCATCCCATCTTCTGGTCATACAGTGACTGGTAATAGACTAGGTCAGGCGTATTTCGATCAGGCAGCCAAACAAGCTCTTTTGGGGTTGCTAGGACACCATGAGCATCAGGCCCACCAGCATATATGACCTCTGTTTTATTCCTCAGCGTAGCATTACCACCAATGGGATCTGAAGTGATATAGAGTGCCACATCATGCCCAGCCTGCACTGAGAACTTCACTGGCACACCCCTCTCAACCTTTAACAGTGGCGCCTCCTTCTTGTTGATGTAAAGCACCTTATCAGGGTTTGGTGGGTTTGGATAGCGCACGGCTGGAGCAGATGTCACCACGAGTGGTGTCTTGCGATCTGCGATGATCCTCTCCTGATCCTCCTTATTGTCAGCATCCAACGGTCCAAGGC